GGAATTCATTTGTTTAGTCAATTACCAAAATTTGGATGATTTTGAATATTCACTTGAAAAGTTATCAAAGAAAAACATTTTTCATTTTGTAACTTCGAGGGCCCGTTACTTGGTAACGAAGGATTTTAGGAAAAAAAGTTATATGAAGTACTGGTGATATTTTGACCCCATCTATACATTCCTGAGAGGAAAAGAGGAAGTCCAGGGACACCCTGTATTATATCGTAGTCAACTTTTAGCATCAATGGATTCGAGTGGACGCACTTCATATACGAGGTCTATTCAAAAAATAAAGTGAATGTTTAAATTTCGCGTGCTACGTACATTCGATTAGCGATTTTTCCATTTTTTATGTTTGAAACCCCCCCGAACATATATTCACAGTTTCAGCTGTTTAGCTCGCGTAGTTTCTTGGTAAGAGGCATAAATGTTAGAAATGTTTTGCATGTTAAGCGATTTTCTGCTATCAAAAAAAGTAAACTAAAGAATTTGCACAAATTTTGTGCAAAAAAATAAGAATTGAGTTCTCAATGACACTTCAAATGTTGACAGTGGCATACGGTGATTGTACTCTGAGTCAGAAAAATGTTTACAAGCTCTTCACAGAAGAGAAGATGTAAATAACGCCGCTCGCCCTGAATATCAACAAAAAATGATCTTGAGAAAGTAAAGAAAATCATCATGGAGAATCGTCGAATCACTATTAGAGAAGTTGCTGAGAATATCGGCATCGTGCCATGCAATTTTTTCGAAAATGTTGAGCATGAAGCGTGTGGCAGCGAAGTTCGTCCCAAAATTGCTGAATTTTGACCAAAAAGAGCGTTCCGTGAGCATCGCTCAGGAATTGTTGAATATCGTCAACAGTCCACAGCGTTCCAAATTTGCTTGGAGGAGTCTTAATGGGTGACGAATCATGAGTATATCCAATCGTCCCAATGAAAGAGCCCAAGAGAGCTGAGACCAAAACAAGCAAACTCACTTTTTTATTCGAAAACAGGGTGTAGTGAACATTCACCTAATTTTTTGAACAATCTATTCAGATGTGTGGTCACGATTCAAAATTATTGTTTTTTGAAAGTTGAATTAGATTTTGTAGTTATCTTTTGATTTCTCAAGAAAAATCAAACCAAAAACTTGATTCATATTCCATCAAAGACCTTCAACCTCTGTTTATTGCTATCGAAAGCACACAAAATGCTATTGTTATTTGATTTGCAAATATTAATTGTAGGTCACGTAGGTCAATGGTTCAAATAGATATGGTTAAAATATATAGAAAACATTCTTTCGTAAATTTGAAAGAACCAACTAATGCATTTAGAACGCAAGAAGATTAGATTGGAGTGCTTGAAGCGGAAGATAATAATATAGATTTTACGGTTCAAATATCCCACACTTCTTTTGTGTGCTTTCATAAATATTATCTGAAAAAATTGTCTTGTTCCTTTTCTCAAACCAATCGCATTGGGAGAGTGATTGGGTATTATATATTTTACACTTTTCCGATGCTCCAGAGTCGTTTCCACAGTCGGACCTTTCCTGCACTAATGAGGTAGGAAACTGACATACAAATAAATGCAAAAGTCACTCACTTAACACTGACTCAATCATCTCTGTTTCTCCGTATTTGTAAGTCCTAGGGAGCTAAAATTTGTTATATAGGTGCTTCTTGGGTGATCATGAATTACCATAAAGTAAACAAGTCATCAATCACACACATTGCTTCTCAGGTGTTAGATGCGCACTAAGAAAGGATTTTCAAATATTCCAACTAGGGCGCCCCCCGTGGGGTTAATAGTGGCACATTTACATATGAAAATTACCTTTTCATCACTGTTTCTCTGTACCTCTATATGTATGTAGGTTCATTTTATATTGTGGATATAAATGGCGCCCCAACTGGGACGCCAGCCGGGGGGGAAAAGAGGCGTCCATAAAACAAAATTATCTTTCCATCACTGTTTATCCATGTCATTGAATTTCCAGTGGGTTTATTTATATTTCGTATTAGCATTGCACCCGTGCGGAGCCGGGGCGGTGTCCGTCGTATTAGCCTAAGAAGTAATTGTTTTTTGTCAAAGTGAGATAGAAACAAACACAAAATCACAGGTTTTTTTCCATGGTATGTCCCTCACACTACTCATACCACGGTCGCGGCTTCCCATCAAGCCGGAAGTTCGAAGTCTGCTGGAACTGCAGCATTGTCTGGCGAGAAATTGAAAAAATACCAAAATCTTGGTAACAACTATCTGTTCCATCCAGTAGCGGTTGAAACTTTTGGTGTTTATGGCCCGGAATCTCTGTTATTCGTTCATGAACTCGGAAGGAGAATAGGCCAAGCAACGAAAGATCACCGTTCTACNCTTTCCAGGACGCCATTAAACTCAAAGAAATCATTCTCTTACGTTACTCTCAAATATTCATAGTTTTCTCTATAAAAAATGTTTACTTGATCCCACATTATCAATCCACCATCGAAAATTGACGTTACTATTACTTGGGCAGCTTCCAAACTAGTTCAGGAACCCAGAAACGCACGTCATTCATCAATCGTAGATCATTTCCTGACCTTGATTTCACTGGAGACACCCTACATCTTGTTTTATGAGAGAGAGGACATTGGCAGATCAAGATCTTCAGATAATGTGATGCTGCAGGTTTTTTCAGGTTTTCCTACAGCTGAAAAAGCAAATGCGCCACTGGAATCAATGTTGCCCCGGAGCGCCAAATAATTTTTATTGTTTTTTTTATTTTTATCGCTGTTTTATAATTTCACAAATAAAAATCACAGGAAATAAACAATTTTTGTTTCTATTATTGACCAGTGTTATCAACAAAAGGTTATCTTCGAGATACAATATTGTCTGTCATCGGGTTAGATTCATCGACCTATAAACAACTAAAAAATTTCAAAAGTTGAATTATTCCAAGTAACAAATTATGATCATACACAGTTCAACGTTAACGTGTAGATGACAATAATGTTAGCATTCATTTGAAATAAGCTCTAAGTGATGTGTCAGTGATACCTAATCAACAGTTGGTTAATTGGAACTGCAGAGGTTTTGATACTCTTATGCAAAAGTTTCTTTTTTTTCCCAGAAATATTTTCTTTGATCCGAATAATCCCTGGGTTCATGTAGTTTTAAAATGGTTCATGCAAAAATGACTTCAAATTGATTTCAAAATCAAATAAGCTACAAGATAATTCAATTTTGAAAGTATGCAATTTAATTATCCCAACTATTCTATTTTAGAACGTTCATCAACATCAACCACTGCAGAAGATTTTGGTTCAGCATAGTCCAGATTTTCATTAAAATATGTTCATCATTCTTGGAAGGTGCCTATGACATACTCAAATTCTGATAAAAATACCAAACACTTGCCTCTCATGTGAGACCTACGATTTTGGAGGTATGTGTTTTAGATACCCCAAAGAAAAAACAACAACTAACCCAGCCAATGCCGCACACAAAGCAAAAGAAAAGGCATCTATGCATCGTCTTCCATTTGGAAGATTCATCGCAAGTCACTTCCTATATATGAAAAGCAGAAATTAATTTCATTTGGTCGGCACGACCACCGATAGACCGGTTTCGGAGTACTAGCTCCTAGTCAGTACCGGAAGGGGCAATTTCAGAAAGATGAAACCGTCTGAAATGAATATCCCGATTGACGACGAAAAAATATCCCGAGATCTTGGAACTACGTTCTGAATAAGCTACAGATTTTGAGATAAGATAATGATGAGATAAGATTTTGCACTCACTTGTGATATTATGCAGTTATTTCGCTGGTTAACAAAGTGACACGTACATTAACATATCCTTAATTATTTCGAACTAGCACATAAGATAAAAACCAATTTTCAAATTGCAAAATAAATGAGCTCATTTGCAAAAAAATAGAAACCAATCACTACGTTCGGTTTCGAATCGAATAATGATTCAAATATCAATAAAATAAAAAATCAATCATGAACTGAACTTACGAGAGTCCACAAGTCCTTCGCAGAAATGTTTTTCTTCGCGACTAAACCAGTTTATATGGAAAAAAACTCGACATAATTTTTTCAGAGAACTACAATAATAGCACGACGAGAAATCATTATTTTACGGTTCAATCACTATTCCACATTCTAACAGTGACTCGTTAGGGTTGGTTACATCTAAATCTAAACAATCAAGGAAAAGATTATTGGTGATAGAAAGTATATTTTCACTGTGTTCTGAAACAGAACCAGAATTCTGGTATTTTCATATTAGATTGCGTAAAATGAATGTTATATCGTGGTTGACCTATTCAGCTTTTCAAAAACAAATCCTTTTTATTACGCTTTGTTTTAATAGTTACTTGTTACACTTTCAAACTTAAGCCTAACTGTATAGATTTACCAAGAACTAGTGGATATGTCGGATTCCCAATAATGTGTTGTGTTGGATAAAATCGTGCATGGAAAACCTCGTGATGTGAAACTAGGGGTTCCACAAGAGTCTGTTCTGGGTCCATTGTCACATAACTATGTACGCTGACGATACTACAATCACTGTTTCTGGAAAAAATGAGAATGAATTATCGATGAAAATTAATTTAGTTATTGACGAATTGATGCTTTTCATATCCATTCTGTTGAAGATGTTACCGTGTATAACTTGTGATAAACTAACTTTGGAGCTGTTTCAATTCTCTTTCGATTGCGAAGTTATGAATTATCATTTTTTCTAGTCTGCAATTCATATGCCAATAACACAGCAACCGATTATTTAGATCCGCAGTGAAGATTGTTGTACAGAGGATTGAAAAACCTTTCGAGTAGTCTTTCTATTTCGAAATATATACAGAGCTGTTTGAAGGTTATTTACAATGTTTCATGATGAATTTCACTAGTTCGAACTTCCATTGTCTACTATATAAAATGATTTGAAATCCCTGAAACAACTAAAAAAGAA